TGGACGACATCACAGTTGTGTTGTTGTGTTTTAGGTGTGCGCTGTGAGCTCAGTGTGTATCAGCTCAGTGTTTGTGTGGTGCAGCAGATCCAGGAGAAGATGTGCGTCGCTCACACCTTACCTGTCAGCTACAGGTACGTTCAGACACCTGTGGACCTCACCTGCGGTCATGTGACAGTGCAGCAGGTCACGTGTCTTCCCGTCTGTCTGCAGGCTGCTGTCCATCTCTGAGCTGGTCTCCCAGCAGCGCGTGGCCTGCGTCAGCAACCTGTCCTGGAGCACCAATGAGCAGCGAGCGTGGGCCAGGGAGGCGGAGCTATCTGTGCCAGGACAGCAGGCTCTGCCGAGAGTCAACCTGCTGCTGATTGGCTGTCTGAGAGAGGGGCGGGGCAGTGAGTGGAGGCTGACAGACAGCAGCGGCAGCGTCAGGTGTGAGGTGAGTCAGAGGAGGCGTGGCCTTCAACTTGTATCCTGCATTCTACCTCCTCCGTCCTCGACCTTTTAAATCCTAGCTCCTCGTTCCTCCTGGTGTCATGAACTCTGAGTTTCAGTCCCTGCACATTCAGACTGACTGAATTCATGCTGCTGTCAGCTGAATACAGAGCTCAGCATAAACAAGAACACCGAGTTGGAACAGATTTGTCAGAAAACCTTGAGTTTCCTTTCAGAGTCAAGACTTCTTTGCAATACTATACCACGAAGTAGAACTCTACAAGTTCATTTAGCAGACACTAAATGAACCATCTGAGAGCAGATACAACACCAGCAAGGATCTGGTCAGGAGAAAACAGCCTGGATAAGGGTCATAGAACAGGCCCAGTGTGTAAGGGCGCTGATGCCAGTAGCCGGCTGTAGGGAGGTGACAGGACATTTAGTTTTTTGTTGTTGCTGCTTGTTTCCAGGCTGTCAGGTGCAGAGGTGTTGAGTGAAGAGCTGCTCTTCAGTCTGTTCCTACAGACTGAGAGGGAGTCAGCAGGTTGAACAGTTTGGTAACTGGTTCCACC